ATGAAGTTGATGGTTGGGTTATCATTGAAGTATAGATTAGGGTTTTTAATTGGTTTATTGAATTTGTTGTTTTAACTATATTGTTGTATAATGCCCCAAATCCTAACTGATGAAGGACAGTTAACAAATCAAAGACAAGACAGACAGACAGAAAGAAAGAAAGAAAGAAAGAAAGAAAGAAAGAAAGAGAGAGGGAGGGAGGAAAATATCTCACAGACCCTGCCATTTCTAAGGATTGATTGCCTCATTAAGGGATTTGTCCCTGAGGGGGCAATCTGTGGCCCTACACATGATATTGAACATGGCCAGTGGTTGGGGGTGCTGGGAACTGCAGTCCAACCACATCTGGAGGGTCACAGGTGAGCCACCACTGTGCTAGATTAAACAAAACTTAATTTGCCCAAGGATTCTTGTTTACAACAGAAGTTTTCTTTTTTCCTCATGCTAGTACAGTGGTACCTCGGGTCACATATGCTTCAGGTTACATACGCTTCAGGTTACAGACTCTGCTAACCCAGAAATAGTGCTTCAGGTTAAGAACTTTTCTTCAGGATGAGAACAGAAATCGTGCTCCGGTGGCGCAGCAGCAGCAGCAGGCCCCATTAGCTAAAGTGGTGCTTCAGGTTAAGAACAGTTTCAGGTTAAGAATGGACCTCCAGAACGAATTAAGTACTTAACCCGAGGTACCACTGTACAAGCCTTACCTCCTAGAACTCAGAGAGGAGATACTGGTATTTTCTCCGGTATGATTTGCATATAAAGAAGAGAGAACATGAGGGGTAGGCTCTGTTTTTTAAGTAAAAAAATGGTTATATTTTTTGTTTGGCTGTTTTTACTGCAAGATTGCCCTGAAGTCGTTGTTCTCAAAGTGTGGTGTGGGCGTCACATAGGAGGCCTGGACATCTGCTATGAGAGACATGAAGAAAGGCAGAAAGAGGCTGAAATAAAAAGGGAGGAAATAAAAAGAGAAGAACAAGTGGAAAAACAAAATCAGTGGCATAATAATTGCTACATATATTGTCTTGGGGAACCTCATGATTAAAACAGCACACAAACTCTCCTGTGGTTCAGGACAGACAAACATTTCTTCACTATCAAACCAGATTCTTATTTTGCATACTGATGAAAACAAAATGCTGAACTCAACATCCTAATCCTAACCTTTTGGAGAGATTATTCATGAGGCTAAAACTTAAATGCTGCCAGTATCTTGTCTGTTCTGCCATGTAACAGTTTTTAACAACAGACTCTGTGTGTGACAAGCTAAAATTTGTTATGTAGGAAATCAAAATTTAGCAAGTCTTCCACCCACTAACAGGTTGAATTCCCAAATATTATTTCTCTGGGTCCAGAACAAATTTGTAGCATGGGCTCAATTTCCACACCGCATGACTCCAATTCACCTGTTTCAAAAAACAAGAAAATTGATTAGTGCCCTTTAGCCTTTAGACATCTTTGCTTTTGCTCCTTATATTTCACGTTGAGTGAAAGATTCCTGCATTGCATGGAGTTGGACTAGATGATGCCTGTGGTCCCTTCCAACTCTACAAATCTATGATTCTGTGATTGGCCTTTATAGCCTGACTAATGTATGTATATGAATTCCTAACGGTGACAAGTGACAGAGGCACTTTAGATCTTGTTTCTTGCCCCGGGATCTAGGGTTAGCAGGTCCATTTTGAATTTTGAGAAAGTGCTGTCAGCACCAGTCACAAAATGGCTGCCATGGGGGCATGGCACTACACAACATGGTTATTTGGGGGTTGGGGAACAGCAGAACACAAAATTAGAGGGAGTATCTACATTTGTGATGGAGCTGTAAATCCCATCAACAGCATTGGTTCCCTCAATACTTGGTGCCGATGATTGTTATGGGGCTTGACCTTCCCTCCTATGTGTTCCTGTGTGGCACAAGAAATGCCCACAGGACTCATGGAACTCTTGAGAGAGCACGCCACGTGCAGTTGTGTGCCCTTCTCTCTCCTGCAAACTCCAGGGTTTTTTGTATAAGCACTCTCTCTCCAAAAGAAGGGGCTGAGCCAGAATGCTGCCTGATCTGTTCCAACACTTAAGAGATCTTAGGAGAAATTCCAATATCTGTACACTCTGTGTAGTTTAAGGGATAGATATAGGAAGCAGCCTTTTACCAACCAATCAGCCTAGTGTCTCTCCAGGTTTTTAACCGGGGCCTCTCCCAACCCTAGATGGAACTGCCAGGGATTAGGACTGGGACATTCTGAATACAAAGCATGTACTCTACCACTGAATTATAACTCTTCCTCATAGATACATTGCCCCCCTCATAGGAATTAGCTTGCAGCCTGGGCTACTGCTCCCCCCAGTTCCCTAGAACCCTAGCAAAATTCATACCCTCCAACACTTTCCCAATAAAAATAGAGACATCCTATTCAACAACAACAACATTTATACTCTGCCCATCTGACTGGGTTGCCTCAGCCACTCTGGGTGGCTTTCAACATATATAAAAACATAATACAACAGTAAACATAAAAAACTTACCTATACAGGGCTGCCTTCAGATGTCTTGTAAAGATTTACTTATCTCCTTGGCTCGGGGGGGTCGCATAACTCCATAGCCTCCAACATTTCTCCGATGAAAACAGGGACATCCTAAGGAAAAGCGGGACATTCTGGGATCAAATCAGAAACCAGGATGGCTTCTGTAAATCCAGGACTGTCCCTGGAAAATAGGGACACTTGGGGGGGGTCTGAAAGTGTTCCCTTCCTCCCATTATTGGGCCCAAGTTAATTTAACATCAGATGTGATTGCAGACATTAAGATAATGTAGCTCAGGTAAGCTAATGTATAGATAATTCCATATTGTGAGGAGGGGAATGTGATGATATTGTGAACTGTAAAGTTTCTGATCTGTGAACAGGAGGAGAAGATGCAAGTATATATTTTTCTCAGCGATAACAAGAAACCGTTAGCAAAATTCTGACTGGGGCAAGATCCATTAGATGCAGGGCTATTTTCCCCCCAGCCAGAGCTCACCTCTCAGGTGGGTGCCATTGCCATTCTAAGAGAACAAGGGATAAGTTGTTCTTGGTGAGTTCTGGCACCTATTTTCCCATAAAAATAGCACTGATCAGATGCCACTACTCAGCCTTGTCCCAGGCCAATGTACATAAAGAAGTGTTTGCAAAAATATCTGCTTATCAGCTGTGATAGTCTTTTAACACATCTCCATGTCCTGTCAGATCCTGCATAGGTAGGCTGACTGCATGATGGACAAAAAAGCCCTTGAAGATGGTGCATTAACTCAGTCTTTTCCAGATTAATCATCCCACACTTCTCCATCTGTTGTGTTTGTGTGTGAAGTAATGATTTGGTGCACCTGCGTCTAATGTTGGCATCAGCAAGTGTTGCTGTTCTGGGTCAACATCTTGAGTTGGCCGGGGTCAGTCAGCAGTGCAGGGACCCATGCTGTGGTGATGTGCTGGCAGGCCGTGTTTGTGCTACACTTTCATTTGCTGAACCAGTGAGTCAAAGGATCAGACTGCAAAGTATATTTGGGATCACAGCTTGAAAAGATTCTTCGGGGAATTCCAGCCTGGAGCTTTTAGACTTCAAGGACTGCTTGCTGCCAACAAGCCCAATTCCTTCCAAAATGCTACATATTTAGGTCACCAGCTTGCTCACCTAAGATATGGCCAATGCCAGGGAAACTGCGCTTTTATGCTAACAGATTTGTAATGAAAAATAGCTGCCAACAGAAAAACACCCTTTGCCTTCTCCCTGGAGAATAACTTTACTAACCCATGAAATGGATGTGATAAAATTGCCTATGAAAGCTCATATCAGAATACACCTGTTAGGCTGAAGTCTAAGTATGCTTCTTACCAGTAGATAGTTGCAGTCTACAGGAGAGTTAGCCCTGAGTGCTCACTGGAAGGACAGATCGTGAAGCTGAGGCGCCAGTACTTTGGCCACCTCATGAGAGGAGAAGACTCCCTGGAAAAGACCCTGATGTTGGGAAAGATGGAGGGCACAAGGATAAGGGGATGACAGAGGACAAGATAGTTAGACAGTGTTCTCGAAGCTACCAGCATGAGTTTGACCAAACTGCAGGAGGCAGTGGAAGACAGGAGTGCCTGGCATGCTCTGGTCCATGGGGTCACGAAGAGTAGGACACGACTAAACGACTAAACAACAACAACAACAGGAGACTTTCTCTTAGAAGCCCACTCTGTAATAACTCAGAGCAGGGCTTTTAGTGTGGCTGTCCCTGCCCTCTGGGTCAAGATACAGCAGGCACCCAATATCTGCACTTTCTGGAAATAATTGAAGACGTTTTTGTTCTGACTGGCTTTCCCGGTGTGATAAATGGGTCTTTACCATGAGGAGCTATTTTGTTAGGGTTTCAGTCTTGTTTTAAATGTATTTAATAAAACATTTTAATTTCACCGGTGGTTTTTTCTTTTTAAACTTCTCTCTCCCTCTCCGTTGGTGATTGTTTTTAATTGTTAGCTGTTGCTTTTAAAGCAGAAAAGTAAAAATATATGAATGAATATTAAATGAATATTAAATGAATAGATCAGCCTCATAGTTAACAACTCAACTGGGCACCGTGGGTTACAAGAAATTCATTGCAGAGGGACCCTTTTCTACCTACCCATTACATTTGGGATGGGGTGGAGGAAAGATCCACGTGCACCATCTTGAATTCATTGGAGATGAGTAACTTTTCCGGCCTTATTTACAAAACATATACAGTAGTGTACATTGATTCCATTAAGTGCATGACACCTTCCCACCCATTGGAATGAATGGGGAAGCTAACACATGCAGGCTTGCAGGGACATTAGGTGATTTATCTACCATTCTGTTATCTGAAAGCATACTGGCACACGCATAAATTCCGGTTGTTGAATTTGTATATATATTCACACCAAGATTCGAACTGATAATTTCAAGTTTGCTCTCTCATTTTTAATGTATAAATACTAATGTATTTCTTACGTTGTTTCTCTTGCAGCTGAATTTTTATTCCTCTTGTGGGGCGTTTATCTCTGCTATGCAGTGCGGACCGTGCCCTCGGCGTTTCACGAGCCACGTTATTTGGCTGTTGCGGTTCACATTGAGCTCATTATCTCTGCTATATTCCATGCAATTAGGCAAGTGAGCTGTAGCCTGGTTCTTAACTGTTTACTTTCAACATGGTACAATTTGAAATGGGTCATCAGGCTAAGATGCACATCAGAAAGCCCCCAAATGAAAGCGATCCTCCTGCAAAGCACAGAATTCTTTAAAGACGTTCTCTTAGATGGCTGAAGAGATGAGCTTCCTATCTATTAATTAGGCAGGCAGGGTTTTCAGTACATGCATCAAAGGAAATGGTCTCTCAACAGCATTTTATGCATTTATTATTTCCAAAAGCTCTGTACAACTATATAAATCTTAATTCAAGAAGCTTTAAAATAACACTTAAAATCCAGGGTTTAAAATAACCAAGAAAACTATCTGGCAGCAGGCAGTGGGACATGAAAATGTCTGGCTAGAGTTGCCCCCTTTGGGACTGGTAGGGCAGAATCCTGGGAGGCCAACAGTAGGTGGAGCTAGAGCCTGTGTAGGTAGAGCCAACTCTTTATAGCTTTGTCCTCATTCTCCTGCTGAGTTCTGCAAAGGCAAAACTGACACTAAAGAGGAGGAAGGGAACAGCCAGTGTCAGCATCACCCTTGAGCCAGTGCCACCAACTGGACTCATACACTTCAGCCCCGACTGGGCTAGGCAAGCTGGGTAGCACTTCCAGAGACCACCTTCTGCACAGGAACAGGTCAAAGTGCTGTGGACTCACAGCTTAGAGTTGTGAGCACCGGATTTACTTCTACAAGATGACAGTTGTCGCACAGCAGAATATAGCAGAGTATAGCAGAGCATAAACGACTCGTAGAGCAGCTCTGTAGAATATCTTCTTTATTCTATCTACAACTATAATACACAACTATATACAGAGCTAAATGAGGTCTAAACGAAAATGCTGAACTGCACTGAGTGTCTGCAGCTGCTCTTAGCAGCAACCTTATCTATACACACGATCTCTCTCTAACACTCAGTCTCTCTCTCTCTTTGATGTGAGGCTTGAGCGGAATAAGTAGAGAGCAGAAACCGCCCCCTCCTCTCTGAAGAATCAGCAGAGAACATCAGCAGATTCTTGGATATGGGAGGGGTGAAATCTCCTCAGCCAGAGCCACTCCCTTTAAGGCAGGCAGGTAACAGGTGGCAGTTGACTGAGGGCAGACTGAGGGTGGCAGGGCAGTGCCCCATTTTCCCCAATGGACCAGTCTCCTCTTGCTGCTAGTCCCATTTGAAATAATGCATAGAAATCTAAGCCTAGGCATCAATGTTGAAAAGAAACCAGGGAAATAGCTCCCTAGTCATGCAGCCTTACAAAATCCCTACAGAGGCAGAATTGAAATCTGTCAAAAGCCTAGCAGAATAATAATTTCAAAAAGCATCTTACCTACCTGCTTCAGGCTGACCTTCCTCAGGAAGAGTTCCATAACTGGGGAGGGGCCACCACCGAGAAGGCACTGGCCCGCATCCCCACCAGCCATACCTCTGTTGGTGTCAGGACACAGATTAAGGCCTCCCAAGATGCTCCTATTTGATGGGCAGGTTTTATAGCCTTTCAGACTGTGTGTAGAGGGCTATTGGTTTTGTTTGTTATTATGGTACGTATTTTTGTGTTTGTATATTGTAAAGCACCCCGTGATCTTCAGGTGAAGGGTGGTATAGAAATTTAAATAATGATGGTGGTGGTGGTGATGATGGAGGAAGCAGTTTTCTTCCAGCAATCCTGGTCCCAATCCATTTAAGTTAATATAAACTGGGCTCAGAAACAAAATGGAAGCCAGGGCAATTGGAAGAAGATTAGTGTGATATGATCCATATCAAGATAAGTGCCTGTTAAGTATTTTGCCTGGTGCTTTTTGCTGCAACTGAAGCTTCTGCTTACTCTTCAAGGGAAGTGCCCTTGAAGAATGCTTTGCAATAATTTGGTCTGGCTATGTGACCAAGGCGTGTGTCATAATGACCAGACCCTCTGGCATCGATGCCAGGTGTTCTGCACCCTCTATGATGCTCCAGTCACAGATCTCCAAGGCTCTGGCTTACAGAGCAGTAGCAGGCAGGTAGGAGGCCACCACCATTTTAAATTGCCCACAATGCCCCACAAGGGACTCTAGATTCCAGTGCATGGTCTGAAGGCACATGAGAGACCACTTTGGTGAAGCTGGCTAGCCTAGCACCCTGGATGGATGACTATCTGGCAGCCACATGTACACCCCCCGTGGGTCCCATAATATAGGGCAGGATATAATTATGTAAGGAAATGAACAATGGATAGATGAGTGGGTAGTTCACATCCACCCACTGCAAGAGGGTATTAGTAGTGCTGCGGTCCTCCAGTGGTAGCCCCACCAATGCCAGAGGGATTCCACCACAGTGTGCTTTGTCAAGAATCGTCCCACTTAGAGCCATCCCTGCAAGTTTTCACGTTACTGCAAATGGAACATTTGGTTGGTTTTCCACATACAATGGGGCACGTGCGCATGAACCCTGCATGTGCATTGCTGCTCTGATGTGCACACAAGGAGGCTGTGGATCAGAGGATGTGTACTGAGGGAGAGACAGGCAACAATGTCATATTCGATCATGTAGTGCATTGTTATATTCAGGTTTTTGCTCTTTAAGAGTCGTCAGGAATATTAAGGATCTAGCATTTAATGTGGGGGGAGGAAAGTGGAGGAAGATGCATTTGCCAACCCTGTGGGTTCTATTTTTAGGTTCAGTCTTGCCTCAAGACTTCAGTCTGATTGGATGCTGATGTTGTTCTTTGCGCACACACACTTGACTGTGACAGTCACCGTTGGGTTACTTCTGATCCCGAAGGTATTCTTTCTCTACTCTTTCCCCCATGTCAGAACTCAGGGACAAATGCACAGTACGCAGGAGATCTCTTACTGGGTCTCTTCATGTTTGGGCTTTGTTTGTTTTTTTTAGATTTTGCAGAGGGTTCCAAATTAAATTGGAATGTCGACCTTTCCTCTCAATCTAAATTGCTGCTCTGAGCTCCATGGCTGGGTGTAAGAGAGAGGCACCCCTCAGTGCCACTGCCCTGACCTAATTTGGATACCTTTAGGCAGCTTTAGAAACATCAGGAGTTCTCATCACAGATCTTCCGCCTAACATGCATCTTAGCCCTCTGATAGATCAATATAACTTGGTGGCAACTGTTGTTTGTTGAATTAGGAAATAGCCTGAGAAATCTCATGTTTTGAGGAGACATCTAAAGATATATTTCTCTCTAGAACTGCAAAGTATCCTGCAGTTGCTCCCGGCAAGTATCTTTCCATACCAGGGATGGTGAACCAGTGGTCCTCCAAAGGCTGGTGGACTCCAACTCCCCATCAGTCCCAGCCAGCAAAGCTGATGCTCAGGGATGATGTTGGGGGGATGATGAGCAGGGATAATAGAAACTAGAGTCCAGCAACAGCTGGAGGATCACAGGTTCCCCAACCCTGTTCTATATGAAGCTAGCAGGGCAAAGGTTTCTATGCACATATGAAGGCTATGCACATACTTTAAAAGAACAGCAAAAAAGTTGAATATTCATGGGGAGACGTGCATGACAGCCACAATGGAAGAGCCAATTGTAGTGTCCAGGAATGTCGAACTAAAGAACAAGGGCATGTTCTTTGATCTTGTTATATTGACCAGGGCATTTATTTTGACATCTCCCGTATGTTTTCAGTTTTCCCGTTCAAGCAATAACCCAAGAGATGACATAGCTACTGAGGCTTATGAAGATGAACTCGACATGGGAAGATCTGGATCTTACCTGAACAGCAGTATCAATTCAGCTTGGAGCGAGCATAGCTTGGATCCGGACGATATTAGGGTACATGCCAACCTTGTGAATTTTCTCTCTGTGGGTGTTTTTTGTGGGTGTTTTTTTAAAAGCCAGGTGGGAAATCTTCAGTAATAAGATGAAATAAATAAATGATGAAAATGATGGCCTGCTCAGTCCTAATAAAATCTTTGGCATGGTAAATTCAGTCTGACATAAGCAGCCTCTCTGATTGCTGGAGAGTTACTGCAGACTGTTAAAACTGAAGAATCCAATACAAGGACAACTTAGTTTCTTGCCCGAATAGATTCTTCCAATTCTTCCAATGGCTTCAGGTTACTCTCACAATATTCTCGTATTGTCGTATGTTAAACTCAGTGAAGTGTAACTGAAATGATGGCCATTTTGTGCTGCTCTTTGGTTGTCTTCTGCATGTGTAACTCAGTCCAGTTGGAACTCTGTGTGCAAGTGGGGAAAGGGCTCTGTACACATTTTTTTTCCTGGGCTCATTCAATTCTGCTGATCATCTGTTGGGGAAGAAGGAGTTGAAAATAGAGGGCTGGATTCAGTCCTCCTTTTTATGCTCTCTGACAGCAGACGATTTGCTGAATTTGACCCAATCTGATTGGATCTTCATGCAAGCTCAGCTACTTCATCAGGTTTCAACTCAGGGAAATGTACACCTGGGTCCCTATTGGTCCATGTGTTTCCTTCTATTGCAGGGATAGGGAACCAAGACCCAGATATCTAATCCCTAGGCCCTTCAGGTTAAGAAAAGCTACACTACATTTATTTTGACTCAATATATACCTTCCTGACAAGTATTGTCTGATTTACAGGATGAATTGAAGAAGCTGTATGCCCAGCTGGAGATTTATAAGAGGAAAAAGATGATCACCAACAACCCACACCTCCAGAAGAAGAGGTGCTCCAAAAAGGGCTTGGGTCGTTCAATCATGCGAAGAATTACGGAGATCCCTGAGACAGTCACCAGGCAGTGCTCCCGGGAGGAAAAGGACTTTCTGGAGCATGGGGTTTCGAAGAATACTCCTGCGACAAAGAAGAACCCACCGGATTCTGGGGGACACATCAAACCGAAGGAAGAATCCTTGAGGAACCGAGTCTTCTCGTTGAAGAAGTCTCACAGCACTTACGACCACGTCCGGGAGCCGGCCGCAGAGCCTAACAGCTTAACAACAGAAAGCGTGGAGGTCATCACAGCTACTGAGAATTCCTTGCTGGATTCTGCCCCTGGGAAAAAGACCGCAGACAAAACTGAAGCAACGTCCACTGAAAACGTCCCTTTGGTGTGCAAATCCGTGAGCGCTCACAATTTGAGCGCAGATAAGAAGCCCCTTCACCCCAGAACGTCAGTGTTGCAGAAATCGCTCAGTGTTATTGCCAGTGCCAAGGAGAAAACGCTGGGGCTGGCCGGGAAAATGCAAAGCGAAGAGGGCGGTAAGTCGCACAAGTCTCAACAGAAGGGCAAAGAGGGGAGCAAGAAGCACTCGGGCGCCGATAAAAGCGAGCATAAGGATTCTCACCGGAAAAACTCTGCCCATGCAGACGAGGCGAAGAAGACCCATAAATCTGGGATAATGAAGCAACAAAAGTCCACTCAGGCAGCTGGGAACCCTGAGGCGGCAGCAGCAGCAGCAGCAGATAAGACCCTGCCAAAGGGCAAAGTTGACATAGGAGAGGTTTGCCCCTGGGAAATCTATGACCAGAGCCCGGGGTCTGGGCTTTCTGATTCCAAAGCTCAAAAGCACGTCTCCATTGCTTCCTCTGAATCAGAGAAGCAACCCTCTTCCCCGGCCAAGGGCAAAACGCCCCACAAGACTGCGGAAGGCAATCAGCTCCCCAATCAAAAGAGCACAGATAGATGTGAAGTGTGCCCTTGGGAGACCCAAGAAGAAGAACTGCCAAGTTTGAAGGCTCAGCGGGGCGAGAATGCTAATAAACAGTGTGCCCCCAGCGTTTCTGCTGGAGAGCCCAAGGAACTGCGCCAAAAGACAACAGCACAAACCACAGATACCAATAAACTGGGAGGCCAGACAAAAAATTCCTCCTCCTCTCCAGTGGGGAATGCGCTTCCCTCTGATTCTGCCAAGCCGGCAGCTAGTAACTCACAGCAACCTTTAAGGTCTCGTGTGGAAATCTGCCCTTGGGAGTACGAGGCGCCAGAGTTACCCAAAGGGGAGAAAAGTATAGCTTTATCGAACGCTACCAGTTTAAGCTCGAATAAAACGGCGGCGCATCCTAAATAAAGAGGGCTTCTTAGACTGCTGGGAAGAGAAGCGAACACCTGAATGAGAAAGGGCTGAAAAGAGGGAGGGGGGAAAGGTCCCGAGGATCTGGAAATTCCAAAGGAGCATCACTTAAGCAGGCGGCGAGCACCTTGAATACGTAGGAACTAGGCAAAGTGAATTGTCTCTTGTTTGTTTGTTTATTGTTGAGTGCCAACGGGGTTATCAGTGCGATCCAGAACATGAGGAACTGTGGCCCTTCCCTGTCCCCCCAAAAAGAGTTTACATTCCAAATGAGCGAAAACATGCCTTTAGAAATAATTTATTTTTTTTGTAATAATGTGCGGGGTTGGTAAGTAAGCGACATCAAAGTAATGAAGATCAAATGTAATTATTCCTAAAGGCCCTGTAGTGGCATAACGTGGGTTACAAATTCATTAAATGTCATAAAATCTAATGGAGTTGTTGTGAAAGGCCTCGGATCAGATGCAGGATACCACCGAGACTCGAAGCAAATGGATGCAGAGATAAAAATTGTGTGCTGTGGGAGCAACTCCAGAAACGAAAACGAAACAAAGAAAATCATGACTTTTCACTTTCATGGGATCATAGAATTGCAGAGTTGGAACCCAACCTCCTCCTCATCTCTGCCCTTGATAGCACTGCTAACTTAACGCATCCCCCTCCCCAATTATATTTTTATATGATTGCTCTCATTTTTCTTATAAATGTATGTACTCTGTGTCTCATATTTAAGCATTCCAGTTTGTATAATGTTTGCAAATAACTTTGATATGATTATGTGACACAACACATTTATGCAATCTGCAGGTAAAATCGAATGTGTGCAATTCTGAAAGCAAAACTTGCTCTAGAAATTGGTTGATTTCTAGGACTTACGGCAAAGCTCCCAAAGGCTCGTTGAAGCTGTAAGAAAAAACACACTGGGGATTTTATTTGGCTGTTCTTTTTTATTTTTTTGGTCGTGGTTTGTATTGTGGGCTTGTTGTTCTCTCTGTTATTTCCGATTATGATTTGATGCTGTACGATTCAGGGTTTTTATACGAGGTACGTTCCGTCTCTTGCACTTGTCCGTTGATGATCTTTACTAGCGGAAGCCGTCACCTTAGGGAGTTGCACAGCTTGGTAAATAATCATAATGATATTTATTGTTTCTGTAGCGCTTAGAAAGCAAGCACTGTTTAAAAATAAATCTGAGGACAATGTTTCTTAGAAAACTGGCAAAATGTTATTTATCATTCCAGAAACTCTACTTTAATAATTCTTCATCGGTATCTTGCTCAGTACTTTATATTGAGCCAGTTGAAGGAAAACGGGGAAATGTAGAAGATGTCTTCTGCAGAGTGGGAATTCTGGAATGCTGTCTGGATTCATGTTTCAGGAGAGGAATTAGGTTTGAAAGGCCTTGTTCATCATACTGTTAAACTTGAGAGAATCAGAAAGTGAGGATCCTTCCTGCCCTGCACCTATTAAGTAAATGACAGGACAAATAAAACAGTTAGCCCCCATTTGTTTCTCTCCTGCAAAGCACTTGTACAGCCAGATCCTATGCATGTTTACTCAGAAATAAGCAACACTGAGTTCAGTGGGGTTTACTTTCCAGGTAAATGTGCAGGTTATGGATTGCAGCCTTAATCTGCAAGGTGTTTTTGTGATCATTAATTGTTCTATAGCACTTTTACCAAATTAGGTTATGATATCATTTCTCTCCGTGACCCACCCACCTACTGACCACGGTTGCCAGCTCCTGTCCTGGATACCGCGATGATTGCTTTAATGACGCCAGCTCAGTAAAACAGCATTTGGGAAGGGTACCTCCACCCCAGCAGTGCAATGGTCCGGTTCCTTGTCTTTTGCTCCTGATGCAAGCAGGACTCCGATTTTGCCTTAGACTAGAGCATGTAGGGGAATTAGTTGAGTGGAGGGCTGAGCACTGAGATGTATGCAAGTCCCTGCTCCTAATCACTGTTTCTCTCTGTAGCAAGGGGGCGGGACCAGTTTCTCTCTGGATGGAATTGGGCTCTCAGCTGCCACTGGCCCGACCCAGCATGGCTGCTGGCAATGAATGCTGTGAGTTGGAGCCCCGCGACATCTGGAGGGCCACAGGTTTCACATCTGTACTCTGCATATTTCAGACATGGCCTCCACAATTGCCCCAGCAGTGGGACATTTTAGGGGCCAGGTTTGGATGGGAGAGCATTGGGGAGTTCAGAACTTTCAAGTATATAAAGCAGAGACTCGGTAGGAGCAAGAAAGCAGTCCTACTTGGCTGCACCAGGGAGCAATGTGGGCAACTCCCACCCCCACCGAAGACTGCACTGACACTTCCAGACAAGTCTAACTAGACATTTTTCATGCCCCCCTCTCTCTGCTCTGTGTCTTCAACGCACATAGTTGTTCATCTGCCTCCTCCCTTTAGCTGGAGAAATGTCATATTCTAAAAAAACTGATGGGTATCTCATACAAATCCACAGAGGGAATCCCTCACCTATCGGGACAATATGTCCTAACAGTTAACTCTCTTTGATGGAATATGGGAAATATAATTCTGGGCTTTCTTTCATTAAAGAGCTTTCCGCCCAACAAAAGACAGCTCAGGCAGCAGTGCTGCCACCACTCCCTATCACTTTGCTGCTACTTCCTTGCAAGGTTCCTTGCATTGCACATGACATTGTTGCTCTTGAACACTGCCCAGCCCCGTATATCCAAGACTCAGTGATGTGAGCCAGGAATGGAGTGAAGTGTCACGCATCACACATTGCGTCATTATGAGGAAGGGGTGGAAAGTGACCAAGAGTAATGATGGTCAACTCTGAGTCTCTCATGTTGCCTATTTGAGTTGATGTCCAACTTAGAGCAGTTGAAGCAACCACCGCGATATCTGAGTCAGGAGATGGCTACCCTGCTCATAATATACCAAATATTGATATATATATATATAGAGAGAGATCTATGCACTAGCCAATGCTGGCTTTTAAGCCGTATCTCATTCATCTTCAGTACACCAGGTGAAGTTGGTGGCATTTTTGTAAGTTGAGAGTGTGATCTGAAAGCATATGATGCAGTTCTACTGCTGAAGCTAAACAGGTCTGGTCATGGAAGCTACCTGGATGGGAGATAACCACTTGTAGGACACTCTGAGCTTTGGATGAAGAGCAGTGCATAATTTTTTTTTAAGCAAGCACTTTTTAATCTCCCTTCTACCAGTGATGGTTGAGAGATAGTCGTTCACCTAAAGCTATCATTCATTTCTAGCTGAGCAAAAATTTGAACCTAGTTTCAAGGGATCCCAAGGATGAACTATGCACTAGTCCAGCCAAGATGTGGACAATTGCTTAAGGCTGTGTCTATAACAGTCCCAGCTGAAGCCAATGGTGTCTTTGATGGGCAAAAATGAATAAATCTTTGTTAAGGATGTCATGGAATTTTGGATAACACAGAGGCTGAAGACTAAACAGTAGCAGTTCAGCCTCTTAAATATAGCCCTAGGTTATAGTCTACATCTCCACCTAGGTACCAAAATGCCCCATGAGTTTAATTTATTGGGTTAACATGCCTGCCTCCTGGTGTGTGACCATGTGTGTTCTCAAATGAACACATGGATCTCTTGCATGCACAGAGGTCTCAATATATCCCCTTTAAATGAAGCTGTCTTTCACTTGTGAACTCAGATTAACCACCTTTATTGAAATGAATGGAGACCCCATTCTGGCCTGGATAACTTCATGCATGCATGAAGACATGGTGGTGACTCCTAACTCCCACCTTACTGAATCTTCTGACTAAAGTGGTGGGCACACCACTTTAGAATCCCAGATAGCATATGAAGACAATTCATCTCAACTGAGATGAGCTATGTACTATGTAAGGATATGTGCAGCATCTTCTTCTGCACTATGTAAGGATGATGGGGACAGTGTCAGGATAGGCAACCAGCCACAAGTGATCTGCATCCACATCGGGGGGTGGGGGTGGTTAGGATGCTTTATCTGCATGTAGTGGGGAACCTTTGTTCCTCCTGAATTTGCTGGACTCCAGCTCCCATCAGGATGGCTGGTGATCAGAGACAATGGACATTGGAGTCCAACATCTGGAGGACTACAGGCTTCCCACTCCCAGTGTAGTTAGTGGCTTTTACTGCCAAGGTACATCAAATGAGGAAAACACCTGGAACTGCCCTCCCCATCTATATTCAAATCCTTGGCAGGTTTTTATGTGGGACAGCAGCCAAGGATCCCATTGGGAGCCTAAGGCAGTTCCTGGACCACAGCACATATCTCAAGAAGGAAATGTTGGGCCGGGGGGGGGGGATTTAACAACAACGGGGATGCAATTGAACTGCCTTCAGAAGTCTGTATATTTTGTCTTTCCAAAGTCTGTCAGGAACCGTTTTCTAAAAAGCAAAAACAAATGTATTTTTCTTAAATCAAGAAAATAGATATAATATATTTACAATATATCGTATAAAAATATTTAATCATTCAGAAAAGTTAAAGCTGTAGAAGTAAAGAATTTTGACTCCCCTAAGAAAGATTCAGACTGAGAAAGAGGAAAGCTCTGGTGTATCTTACTGGTATAGGGAAGGCCTGGGGACAAAGAAAGAAAATAAAGTTGTACAGGTTGGCATTATCCTTCTCCACCCCATAATACTCAATCTAAGGTTCAAACTCGTGTATGCCCTTACGTGTATGTACGTGTATGCCTTTAATTGTCACAAAATGGCTTTCTCCAGTAGAGAACTTAAGCAGAACCATGGGAGGTTTGGGGAGGAAGAGATGTGGTTGTTTTGTTCCCTTTTTCGGCATGGTAATGGAAAGCAGGGACCCTCTCCACCGTGGAAGGCAAATAGGCACATTCTCAGTGTGGGACCTACTGTGAAAATCCATTTGAGAGTTCACAACCTCTTCCTGCAAGGCCTTTTGCTGACCGGCCCCTTTGGGTGCACTGAAACAGGCTAGGCATGGTGGTAAAAGCAAGAGGCACGTGATATTGAACAGCATTCTCTTTGTCTCTTTAAAGGAGAGGACTTCCTCCATTCCATTCCCTTGGTGTTCTTCTGCTCATTGTATCTTGTGTTCAAATTCTCCCGACTCCTGGTTTAACTAGGATATTTTCTCAAATTCTAGAATTGGAGGATGAGCAGTTTTGCTTCAACTTTGGCAACCTTTATTTTGTTTTCTTTCCCTTACCCATCCCGCTCCTTTCCATTACCAATGTTCACACGGTGCTTTCAGGGCTGGCCCTATCATTAGAAAGAGTGAGGCTGTTGCCTCAGGTGGCTGATTTGGGGTGTCGTGGAACAGCAGCAAATGGTTGGCTATGTAATTTATTGTTGTAGTTTCACTGCCAGGAAGCAGGAGAGGCACTTGTGGGATTTTCTGCCTCAGGTGCCACAAACGTTAGGCCAGCCTCGGATACACTTTGACCGTGTGTGTGTGTTTGTTTGTGTCTCTCTGTGTGTGCATTTGCTGCTCTGCCTCAAACAGCAAAAGTTCTTGGGGCCATCGCAGTGTGCGCTGATAAAAAGCTGCAAAGTGGGTGGGTGAAAAAGTCTTGATTATATATATATAATTGTATCAAGTTTTCTTTAGGGCCATGTAATGTATACATGACAGAGGGATGTGGGTGGCGCTGTGGGTAAAACCTCAGCGCCTAGGACTTGCCGATCGTCAGGTTGGTGGTTCGAATCCCCGCGGCGGGGTGCGCTCCTGTCGCTCGGTCCCAGCGCCTGCCAACCTAGCAGTTCGAAAGCACCTCCAGGTGCAAGTAGATAAATAGGGACCGCTTTATAGCGGGAAGGTAAACGGCGTTCCGTGTGCTGCGCTGGCTCGCCAGATGCAGCTTTGTCACGCTGGCCATGTGACCCGGAAGTGTCTGCGGACAGCGCTGGCTCCCAGCCTCTAGAGTGAGATGAGCGCACAACCCTAGAGTCTGTCAAGACTGGCCCGTACGGGCAGGGGTACCTTTACCATTACCTAATGTATACATGTGTTTCTCCTCCGTAGGAAAAGATAATCACACACACACACACACACAATGCTTGGCTCATCTGTATCTGCTAGTGTTGCCAGGTCAGGAGATCCCAGACCCTAAGATTTCAGGGCCCAAAGCAGCCCCCAGTGATATTATTAAGCATGATGGGTTAAGTATTAACTTCAGTCACTCAAATAAAAAACCCCCAAAACCTAACAAGTGAGTTGGGTCACTAGTTGGGTCACTAGCTGAAACCTTAGCTAAAGAGGGTTGTTCCTATGATTGTTGTGAACTGCTCTCGTCAACAGCCAGTGTTTATGCTGCAGTTGCCAGCCACTTCTATATGCATTTAATTTCCTTTCCAGTCATCTTTAAAAAACTAACTAAAGGTGTTTTTGCACACCTGAATATTCAAACCCTCCACCTGCCACCTGGGCTTGGCAAGTAGGCAAACCAGGAGATTCCAACTTAGCCCTTGGGGTCTAGCAACTCTAATCTGTTCACGATTACATCAAGTTTGCTTTTTCTGGTGACACAAAAGTGAAAACACACATTGGCAACTCTGGGGGGGGGGGAAGAATCTTGATGCAGGCCCTCATCAAGACTGGGAGTAAGTCCTAGTGTATTCAAGTGTGGCCTGCTTCTGAGAATACATATATAGGATTGCACTGTTAATTGCTAACTTCACTTGGATTCAACCAGTTATTCAGAGGTTGATTCAAAGCCTGAAATCCAACCTCAGCCCAGTCTCCTGACCTGTCAATGAAGGATGGTGATTCAAAAAGATACATAGACATGGAGCCTACTTCCAGATAATTTGGGGGAAATGACATTCTTTGTGGGAACAGTCTTTTGTCCAAAGGTCTGCCAAAATTGATAGAATTTCTGTGCTTGGAACTGAAGATAGGGAACCACTCTGAAACCACCAACTAACTTTAGATGCCTGCAGGAAGCTCAGCATATTGGCATTTAACCCCTTGAAATGAAATTGGGCAAACTTTTCAGCGGTTTCAGCTTGGTCTAGCTACACTAAGATGAGTCTAGGCACGCTCATTCACAATAGCCAAGGCTTAGGCCTTGACATGTGTGTTTGTTTTCTGACACCTTGAATGTTCCTTGTGTCACTTTAAACAAAATGTTTCATAGGCTCACTCAAGCCGTGTACTGTACTGTAAGCCTGTTTAGAAACTGAGATCCGTTTGTAAATTGAAGTACTATTTCCCACGCTCATGCGGTTATGAACATTCGTGATGCAACTGTTAGTACTTACAGTTTCTTCAGCACCTTAGAGAACAAAGGAAAAACCAAACGTTACTGGACTTATTAATATTGTACAACATTATGAACCTGTTAGAGGCATTGCTATATCCTGACAAACCCGAGTTAGCCTAATTGGTGTTCCATGTTTCATACCTTCTTCTCCACCAGCATCTATTAGCTCGTCCCTATTCTGGAGTTCCATTGATGTCCCTCTGCCAAGAGAAATGCAACTCTAGAGTCACAGTGTTTTTAGCAGATCTGTGTAGAAGGCAGGTCATAATTTGCTTATGCTCACAAACATTTGCTACGTTGTCTTTTTCCAAATGCATGAGCAGGCTGCATCTCTCCTTTGTTTTGAAGACATGGTTTATAAAAAACGTAATAGATTTATACCAAACCATATTAGACCTGTATATTTTATGCAAGAAGTACATGCTTTAAAAAATATTTTTAAAAAGTTATTTACCCATTGTCAGCTTTGGTGGCATTATAGATCTGAAAAAAAACAGATAATGATTTTATATTTGCTGCACTCCTTAGGTTATTGCATGCATATGATGACAGGTAGGCCTGAGAAAACACTGCCTTTTGACTTTGAACATTTTAGCTACTAACCAGAGTTGTAGAATAAATGAAGCTGTACGTCTGTTCACTTTAGTCTGTGGTTCTTTAAGGGGAAAAAACAACATTATCTGGCAACCAACAGCATCCACCATGAACTGTTTGATAGATTTATGTTGTAATGTATCACAGCATGTAAATAATATAACTTCTCTGCAATAAAACACATTTATATGAAAAAATGTGATAGCCTTTTTGTGTTGCCATTATGAAAGGAGTTGCTTTCTGTATGTGAACAACTGAACTTCTAAAAAAAACCCTCTTCCACCTCCCAGTGGCAGACCTATATTTTGGGGGCCCCTGAAGCTTGAACTGTTATGGGGCTCTTGCCCTAGTTCTTTCCTGAGGGATTGTGGGGTGCATTTGTTGTTTTTTGGTGGTGCATCGGTGTCCTCCCTAGATGAGCTGTTACCTGTATGGTACGGTAATACAATATTACACTACTGCACCTTAGAGATTGTACTCACTGAGCTCCTCTAGATAACCTTTTTATTCCACATTTACCCTGTTTTGCTTGAACAAAACCTAAGCACAGGTTTGATTATATCTAGACCTTATTAAGCATTTGTTCTGATTTGTTTGTAGGGAGGTTGTAAAACAATGTTTATCCAATCTTGCTTGTGAGAAGTTTATACATCTTCTCACCAGTTGTTTTTTCATTCCATACTTTTCAGGGCACTTTCCCTGTCACTTTCCCAACAGCAAACACTCAATTTCTCTAGAGTGACAGAGAGGCCTTCCAGACTGTTGCTGTTTTCAGGTGGGGTTCAGACACATACTGGCAAATTCAGGTCGCCCAATTATAGTTGATTGAGAAGTCTTGTGCAACAAAGCCCCTTTCCCAAAAGATTGGACTTTTTGTGATATGGAAAGTGAGGGCACAAATGCAGGGGTTAACACTTGCATTGACACAAAGTCATCCGACCTGTGAACAAATCTGAATGAATACTCGTTAAACAATCAACATCTAATCTCCTTGCAAACAAATCAGAATGAATGCTTAATGAACAGGTAGCCTAGAAGCACTCAATAGTACTTTCATTAACCTTAATTCAGCCAACCTAAATTTCCTGGAATGTTCATGAATCCCCCCCCCCAAAAAAATACTGACAACAATATTTGCCAATAACAGCAATCTTTCAGTCATTACCAAAGAATGGAGAGGTTTTCCTTTGCAAAATTTCCTTTGCTTGTCGAAATTGGACAAGGCACACAAAAACCCCCTGCCTGTTGTAAAACATTTGTTTCCCAAAAAGAACACTGTGATTTCCTTTGTGTGCTTTTGTAGCTCGCTGATTACATAATGCCCTTCCCTCATCCAGAATCCTTCAAATACCACGCAAATGTCATTGGGATATCTTTGGGTATTTGGCCCTGCAGGGTTTGTGAATGAAAGTGTTGCGACTGTTTAATTTTAGCATCTTTCATTCCTGCTGGAAATGAAAAGGAGCCGAATGCAAGCCAAACACTGCCAGACCCTGTTCCTCTCCCCCCCCCATTTTTTTAAAAAAAAATGCCTTAGAAGAAGAAAAAAACAGTCACACACCCCAGCTGGGCAAATAGCAATTATATAAGAAACTATCTTCTAATGGTGGAAATCAGTGTTCTGTAATTGGAAAGAAAAGTGTGATCGCTTGTGAGTGCAATTCTTTTCCATTTGCTGCAAGCTGGCCTGGTATGTACTGCTGTCCCCTGTATTCCACTTGCTGCTGAACTGAAGACCCATCTGGTTCTTATTTCTTATTTATTTACATATTTGTAGGCCATACTTTTCATAAAGAGACAGCAAGGTGCTATACAAAATAGAAAGTTACAGTAGCTGGGATAAAAATACCAGTGAAAGCATTGGTAAAAACATAACATCTGGGAGAGGGGGTTTGAGGGGGTGACCTCACGTTTCAAAAGCCTTTCTGAATAGCAGAGTTTTCAAAAGATGTCTAAAAGCAGGCAGGGATGACTTCTGCCTAGCTTCCGGTAGAGGGAGTTCCATAGGGGCGGGGCAGCCCCAGGGGCATTGGGAGGCATCCAAAGTGCCCCACCAGAGGATTTCAGTGATCAGAGTGGAGCATAAGGATTTAGGTGGTCCTTAAGGCATTTTGGGTCCAGGTTCTTCAGGGCTTGGGAATGAACACAAGAAACTTGAGCCTGGCATGGTAGCTAACTGGCAACCACTGCAGCTCTCTCAACAGGGGTGTAATGTGTTACCAGAAGCCTGTTCCTGTGAGCAGTCTGTGAAGTGTAGGTGGGTTCCCATGAGGAAAGACACAGTGGTAACAGCAA